TCACTACGGATTCTAACCCTTTATCTCCCTTGTGGCTTCACGGCACCAAAATTCATCTGAATAATTAATAGCTAAGCTAAATAATTGGCTCACAACACCAGAATACTAGAATTCATCAGGATCTGGAATATAACAGATATTTTCTCCAACTTGAGCTCATTTAAGTTTTCCGCTCAGACACTACTGAAATCTATAAGGATCACTCAAGGTGAGCGGCCACATCGGTAGCTCCGTTATTTATAGCATATACAGATAGCATATTAAGATTCCCAGGAGAGTTTACGAACTCGCTTGATGGAAAAGTTTAGTACAGATCTCAGGAGAGCCATTCTCTAAAAGTTGGTACGCAGCACGTACTTGGTGAGTATAGATTAATCGAAATTTACACCAATTTTCCTGAATATCACAAATAGACGCATAAATTTGCACACGCAACGTAAGGAGATCACGAATAGTACATTTCATGGCCATTATGCAGTCTTATTCTACTGACAGGCATTGCTAGATTTAAATTTTTGACTACTACAGAAAAATCCAGTCGAATAAACCAGTCGATTCAAAAATACCTGGACAAAATCTTCAAAAAATAACCAAAATGTGCACATCACTCGCACTTCCAATAATATATTGGCAGAAAAGTTACACGGTAAAAACTGAACCAATCAAAAAGTTACGGACGAAATCGTACGGAACAAAATCCTGACAGAAAATACCGCCAAACATCGACGGGTTCTGTTAAAATTGATGAAAGGAGGAATGGTGCTTACCTTGCGTTACAAGCAATTCTTGAACAATCTTGTCGGACTCGAAAACAGCTCCGCGTCGCCGAAAATCACATTTTCCAAAAATGCCCCGCTTTCTCTCTCCTCAAAATCAGATATTTTATTTTTTTTGGATTTTTCTCTTTCAAACGACTGATTTCTGCTTTTATAAATATCAGGATCGGCCGGGTCGGATCGCTCAGATTCGCTCCGGACGTGCCAGACAAATTGGTCGTCTTCTGGTACGGTTCCCATACTAGTTTCAGGCCGATATTTGCAACAAGTGCCAATTCGGCCTGGCCGAAGCCTCCATCGGCCTGGACGTGCATATCAGAAAATCACCTGGAGAAAAATTTGGGCAAATCTGGAGCAAATTCTCAAACTGATCGTGCCTAGCGATCCAAATTATCTGGACGATCCTGGAGCAGATTTTGATATTACAATCTCCCCCAACTTCAGAAAAATGTCACCTCGCATTAAATGCAATCCAAACTCAGTGCAAATAAGTATGGTAGCGACTGTCTCATGTCAGCTCTCTCAAGTCGCTTGCCGTGCAGTCCGGTCTTTCCATGGACTTTAACCATCAGAATTATTTACTTCTTAACTTTCGGACGTCGTACGCCACAATCAACATCCTTGGCTCTTTCTTGTACGCCAGATTCTCCTGAATCTCAACTTCATCAGCTGATACCTTCTTCCCAGAGTCTGCTACCGGCCCTTCCTCAAATGTGGAATAACGTGAAACACATTATGCCACGTCAGGCCATCGAATCAGAAAGCACAGTCGGTAGATGCAGATTTTCCATTTTTTCAAAATTTCAAAAAGGTCCAACATACCTCGACTTAGGTTACTCAGCCTGACCAAATCTGCTCAACACCCTCATCGGGTGACTTTGATATACACCAAAGTCCACCAACTTGAACTCAACAAACCTGTGCCTTCTGATTGTAAAATTACTTTCTGTTTGACCTTGTCTTTGAGCTGCTTTTAATCTTTCCTTAATCAAACTGATCTTCTGAGCAGTTTCATCAGGCAAAAGTGGCACCCTAAAGCCTGTCTATCTCCATCTCAGTCAATTAGTCAAAGGAGTATGGCATTCTTGCCATAGCAAGCTCGTCGGGTGCATATCGAATATAGCTGGAAAACTGTTTGTTATAAGCAACTCAATCAGCGGGATATGATCCCTTTCCATTACTTCCGCAAAATTCCAAATACAAAGTCTCAAAGTCTTCTAGTACCTGATTGGTCCTCTTAGAAAACTGCCATCGGTCTGAGGATGAAAGGCTGTACTGAATATGCATGTTTCGTACCGCCAGCCTTGCTAAACGCCTTTCCAAAGTCTGGAGTATGTACAATTCCTCGATCAGTTAAACTATCACTCGCGGTCACACCGTGCTTAATCTGACTATTCCTTCACATATTATCTGTGCCAAACGATCCCCGAATCGGTCTGCTGATCGGAAGAAATAGGGCGGATTTTCGTCAGTCGATCTACAACCACCCAATAGGTCGGTGTCCTTATCTAGAGAGGATATCCCATAAGGCAAGTCATAGTCACCTTCTTCGCCACTTCCACTCAGGGATCAGGCACGACTGCAACAGTCCACCTGGTCGGGCTGATGCTTTGCCTTCACCAACTGAAGGCTTCGCATCTCGACACGATTGAACTCTGCCAACATCCTCTTCATTCCATGACCACCAGAACAAAAGTTTCATGTCAGGCATCACTATCTTACCTACGCTGGATGAATCGTTTGTAGCCTTGATGGTGAGATTCTTAAGAATCTTCCTGCTAAATCTCCAGACACAGGTTACCCACACTTGGTTGCTTACATGAAAATGACAGAATCAGATTCGAAGTTCGGAGTCTTACCAGGGATTTCTATCTGAGCAAATCAATTCGAATATCAGAATCTGCTTCTGGTGCTTTACCTGAATCCTTTGTCTCCAAAGAAGACTGAATACTCATCTGGAGCTTAAATTCAAACTATATCTGAGGAATCACTCACTGCAATCGGCTCCATGTTCTCGACCAGGAAATCATCACAAGTCAGCTGCAAAACTGATTAGCATGAAGCTTTCTGCTCAGAGCATCCGCTTACAATTTCGCTTGACCGGTCTGATATGAATGGTAAAATCATAGTCGCCTTGATCACTCGAGCCATCTCTCTGTCTCAAATCAGATCTTTGCTAGGTGAAATGGTACTTCAGGCCTCTTAATGATCAGTGAAATCTCATTCTGAGCGGCATAATTTGTGTTATCAGATAATGACTTGCCAATCTTCAAAGCAAACACAACTGCATGCTCAACACTAAGATCAATAGATGTCGGTATTTTCTCATGTGGTTTCAGAACTGTCTCGAAGCAATAGAAATTACTGACCATGCTGCATTCAGGACACCTCCCCAAGTCCTTTCAGTGAAGCATCACTGTAATCACTTGTAAATCTTAGCCGTACCTGAGGAAGTTCTAACACTGGAGCTGAAGTCAGACAATCCTTCAATCTCTGAAAACTAGCTTCACACTCCCCGTGTCAAACAAAGCTTACTGACCTTTCTGAGTTAGGTCTTCCGTCAGAGGAAGTGAAATCTGATGAAAATCCTTTCACAAATTTTCCTATATTACCCCTGCGCCATGCCAAAAATCGTATTCCTCATACTCCGTGTCGGCCTTGGCCAATCATGCAACTGCCTGAATCTTTTGGGATCAACTAGAATACCTTTCTCTCAAGCTCACACATGCCTCCGCAAAATGAATCCTTCAGCACAGAACTTCCAAACTTGGAGATTGGCAAATACAGCTGATAGCCTTAAGCTCATCAAGTTACTCCAATAATCCTAAATGTCTGGGGCATGTATCTATTCTCCAGAAAGCATACGAATATACAGAATATCGTCCGATGATGCTAATCAAAACTTGATCCAAATGCTCCCTGAATACTCGGTTCATAGATCCTGAAATCAGGATGCATTGGTTACCCAAAGGCAATAACCAAGAACTCGTAGTGCCCGTACGAGTATGAAAGCTGTCTTCACACATCAGCTTCCTTCAACCTTTCACCTGATGTATCCGGATTCTTCAATCAATCTTCGAAATACTGAAGATCCAGAAAGCTGATTCAAACAAGTCAATCAATCGCGAGGCAAAAGATACTTGGTTCTTTGATTGTTTTTGACCATGTTAATCTCTGTTAATTAACACACATACGGGAGTGTCATCCTTCTTCTTCACAATTAAAAGGTGCTCCAGGGCGAAACACTAGGACGGAACAAATGCCTCTAATCAACGAACTCCTGAATGTTGTGAACTTTCAGCTCAATTAGTAAAGATTTTCTTTCGGTGCCGATTTTCTGTACGGAGCTTTTGATATAGGAGCGGTCCCCAGATAAACTATTCGATAGAGAACTCCACATCTCTATCCGGAGGTAAAACCGACCAACTCCTCAGGCAAAAACTCAACAACTTCCCGTATCAAGGGATCTCAGAAATAAAACCAACCGGCTCCAGGTTTCAGATCCCCACACGAGCCAAAAACATCTGGGACATTCCCTTCTTCCACATCCTGCTTACTTCCAAAATAGAATTAGACTGGAGAGACATCCCTCGTAAGCCCGAAATACAAATCGTCTCAGCGCACAAGCAAAACTTTTACTTTGCTTTCTTTCAGACAGTCCTATTTCTGGGCCTCATACTGCTTCAGCCAATCCTCAGGCCCAGAATCTACATCAATCGATGAAATCGAAACAAAATCAAGACTTGATTTTCCACTGTTCTTGCAAGCAATGTAATCTCACATAACAAAATTCCGAGCAATCAAAGGACAACCAGCCGGTAAAAATCACAGACAAAGAACCGGTTAAATACCATCGAATCGAAATGTAAAGTCTGCAAACATCGCTCAGAACTAGAAAGATGACTCGCTCCAGATTAAACAAAACATGACAGGGCTGATCAGCAAATGTAGAACTGCTACTGTCTACATACATTCGGAAGGCAATCGGCGACTCCTGCTGGACTCAGGCTGTATAACTCCGTGGCCCTGAATTCTGGAAGGCCAGAATGTCTGAAGCAAACAGAACTACTTTTCTGCTCCCTTCTGTAAAAGTAAGGTGGTTTCTCATGTGGTCCTAGACCCCTAGAATACCACCTTTTTTACACCTTTCTCGCGAAAATCCCTTCAGGACCGAGGAGCGACAAGTTTTCTGTTTAGTTTAGTTTAGCTATTAATTAAATATCTGATATCTGATTTCTGATATGATTCTGATTTTCGTATCTGTTCTGTAAGCAACTATGATTCTGATGCGATATGATCTGCAATTCCGATTTCTGATTCTGTTGATGTGATCTGTCTGATCTGATCTATTTTTGATATCTGTTCCGTTCAGTTCTGTTCCGATATGATCTGAATTTCTGATTTCTGTACGATTCTAACTCTGTTGATTTATTTTGTTCTGATTTGTATTCTGATGTGAT